TTGACGTTACAAAACTTTGCAATTAAATGCGCCTTTGGAAATGTCAGAAATTTCATGTCAAGACCGAAATCCATTAAAAAGTATCTTAGGTATTTGTTGGCCAGGCTTTGTCGGCCATGCCCAAACATAGTTCAAGATTTCACATTAAGATAATTCCAAGGAAATACCGAAAGCCGCCTCGTTTGGCGCCGAAGACATCAATTGACAGTTTCATTTCGTGGCAAAACAAAAACCCCTATGCGTATACATCTTTACCTGTGTTAGGCCTCCCGAAGGTCTGCAAAATAAGAAGAGGTAAAAATCAAACGCAAAAAATATACATATAATAAATTATTTGTGACCAGGTAAAAATTATCAACACCAAGATTGAACGACCAGACCCTTGAAGAAAGCCACAACCCTCCTTAAAATAATTTTTTTAGGCTCCAGAATGTACAAAATATTTCTTCAGACGCGTTTCGATCACGTCTTCTTCGCCATTTAGGTAGTGAAAATTCAGCCGTCAATTTTTAAGATCTCATTTAGTAAATGCATCCGACAACAATATGGGGCCACCCCATCCTTATATCAAACGTAAATAATCAACTCGGAGAAAAAATCTTTAGCTTCGAAACGTTTTTGGGGTCACTAATTGTCTTTGCACGCGTCTTTATGCCATGGTTATTTTAGGGAGCGGCTCTACATATATATACATATATTTTTGAAACTTTTTCTGTGGGATTGTTTTACCGTAAGCCACTTTTACTTTTTTGTTTTTGGTACATATTTTTTATTCGTTTGGCTTTGCTATACCGCTAACTGCAGACATTTTTATAGGCTTTAAGTGAAGGCTGATTGTACCCTGATTGACAGTTGCTTCAGCTACTTGAAGCTCAATCAGTAAATCACTTGGCCAAAATCCCCCCAGGTCGTTGGCCACCCTGTACTACTTACCGACTCCCATCTTTGCGGCTCATAAATATTTGGAGAACGCGTGCTTGCCTGCGGCTTTTGGGTGTTTTCTGTTACTGAAACTAAGGCTGCTGCTGCTCTCTGATGTCCGCGATAAACAGCCTCAACGTATTCCTTTGGTTTTTGATGTCAGTCAGTCAGTTAATCACTCTGTTCTCCATTGGGTCAGTTGGTAAATAAGCCAGAAAAGCACGGCCTGGAATCCAAAATATTGTTCTGGCAACAATATGTTTTGTCAGATATCTATCTCTAGTGTTTCAGGTCCGTATGCTTCCTTTTGGCTAATAAAATCGATAATACGACGTATTGATGATTCACAGAGAATTTAACTATCTAAAATTATGTTTCTTATGAATAGTTCTATATAAATTAGAATGTATGTATAATTAGAATGTATTAGAATGCGTTTAAGAAGAATAATGAAACGATATTCTAAACATTATGTTTTCTTTCTATCGGACTTCACTAGAAGTCCTAGTATATTTTTCCCTAAATAAATTACACGCATGGTTTGCACGCAATACAAATTTCTGACAATAGTTCTGCAATAGACTGCATTTTTTCAATTGCAGAGCTTGGCTTGTAAAAATGTGCACTTTGCACAAAATATAATAAAACATAACATAATCGATTGATATGGTATTCCATTCGATTATTAAAAAAATTATAATAATTGTCTTTTATCATAATTTTTGCACTTCAAACATATGTAAATTTACATTAATAATAATATAAAATTAAATTTTGTGTCCTTTCTGATTGTTTCTAAGATCTTTTTAACCAATATTTGTAAGTTTACTTTTAAATGTCGAAAGGTAAATCCTTTCACCCCAGAAACCAGTCAAATCAATTTGGCACCCAATTGAACAGTGAACCAAGTACAAGTGACTCATTTTAATGCATTTGGCCCACTGCATTGTCTACATTTATTGGCGAGGGTGGATATTTTTGCAACTGTATTTTAGTTTTAATTGTGCGCACGCAATAATTTTCCTTGATGGCGCATCAACGTCAAGGCGAATCACTTGCCAACGCTTCATCCATCATAAATCGCCGGCTCAGCAGCTGAAGGAGAACGGGATGGATTTGGGGCCAGAGGGAGGGCAAACTCTTTGATTATGGGCGCGTGCGCATAATCAGATATGAGAAGAATCAGAAGGGACCGGGGACCTCAGAGCCACAGAGACACCCAGTTGGGAGCACAGCTCGATTATCATGCACGGAACGCATCGGCCATAAAAACGATTCTGCGATTCCTTCTGTGTGTTGGCTGACGGCGTCTTGTGCCTTGTTTTGCATGCTGCGTTCGTTATGATTGCCACCGAGAACCGAGAACAATGCAGCAACTAAAGCAGTAAGAGTAGCGTCACTGGGAGCAGTACACTCTAAAAGAAACCAGGATGCCATCCAAACAAAAAATGAAAAAATAGGACTTTTGTATCGATTGAATTAAGGCAGTATATATTGTACCATGTAACACATATTATTTAAAAAATATTATTAAAGAGACATTTTTAGGAGTAATTTTGTAAAATTTGGAGTAAAATTTGTCAAGTGCAATACAAAAGCTTCATCGTAAGTAGTTAGCCAACTGGTGACCAGTAATGGGCTTAGCCCCACAGAAACCCCTTCCGATCGAGAATGCTTCGGCTTATAATGAATTGAGTCAAAACCGCGACCTGCATTTTAATTTTTCAGCTTTTCACGGGACAAGTCATATCGCCAAGAATTCACAAGACGTCTTGGCTACTCAAGACTATAAAATTCCATCTTATATAAATATTCAATTCGTATCAATTCTAGTTCTGTTTAGTCGCCAATCGCAGAAACTTGTGACAAAAGTCAAAGTCATATTTTGTTCAAAAGCGTCTTTTAAAATATTAAAATAAAGAACGTGCTTTTCCTGGATAATTTATTTTCATTAAAATGCCGGTCCGGGTTAATTAAATATTTATGTAAAACTTGAATGGCATTATTTTACCCTCAATTTTGTATTGCAGATCTCTTTTAAATGTAAGCTAACTCTTTTGGTCTCTCTTTATAGTATCTCTTAGCAAAAAGCCAAAAAAATATTAGTATAATACAAAGGCAAGCAAAAACAGAAACCAATTTAATTTGTTTGTTTTACTAATCAGCAGCACGTACTCGCACGTTTTTTGCGTCAAAGTCTTTAGTGCGGTCTTTAACTGAATTCTGTTCGCCGTCGTTGCCAATATCAGAGCTATTTTTTTTTTTGCTTCTATAGCCAGCTAAGACTAGCTTTGGCTTGGAGGGTTGGATGGTCTGTTGTAGCGGCTGCCGTTTGGTTAGGCAGCCCACGTTTAAACTTGGCTCAGAGCGTGCTAATCAAGTGGCTCCAAAAGCTAAATTACGCGACCGATTGAGCAAACGGCTGATTCGGCTTCGTCTCATTTTGTTGTTTATTTGTTTTTGAATTGGCTTTGGTTTTATATGTTATCTGGTCGCGTTGAAGTTGGTCTGGGATTTAGCTTTGGTTTTGGTGTCCAACAGTGCTTCAGACCTGGCGGCTTGGGGCTAGGGTTTGGTACGCTTTGATGGCTTCTAGGTGAAGGTCATTGTGTGACTGAAATGTTAATTTGACTGCTTGTCATACATTTATGGCTGGGTATTACTTTTTTTTTGTTTTCGTTTTTTTGTGTGATATTAAGGTTCTTAGAAACACTTTGTCTTGCGGAAAGATTCTTTAACGATTGATGTACTTGAATATAGTATTATGTTTTAAAAATGGTTTAAAATTCTTATTAATGTTTACCTACTTAGACATGTACATATGTACTTAAAAAAAAAATGAGAAGAAAATGTTAAATTAAATAGCTTTAGCTCAGCCTTCAGCAAAGAGGACAGGTAAGGTAGATGGGTTCGTTTGTTGGGGGGATAATGAACTGCAGCTTCACGAATCTGAAGCATATGGTGGCACCATTTAAAGGTCTTTGCTGCTATTCACCATGGTTTTGCTGATGCAGCACACTCGAAAGCCATAAAAGGGCATTAGCCTCGGGAACAAATTGCATATTCTTAGTCGGGGGTAAAGACCTCATGGGGAAGCCGTGCGAGGGCTTAGAAAATTGAATAACATGAAAATAAAATCAAAAATTGAATATAATTTTGGACAAAAGTGGGCAAAGAAGTGAAAGAGATATTTCCGAAGTTGATGTGAGCATGTCCGTGTGACTTTTAGTTTTAAAGCTATCGAATTGAAACTTTTCACACATCTTTCTTTCTTTTGCATGCAGTATATAAGTCGGAACGGCCGGGATCGGCCGACTATATTCTTTAGCTTTCATAAACCTCAACGATCAGAAATGGTATTTAGTAAAAGTACTTTGGTATTTTTGAAGATACTGCGTGCAAAGGAAAGAAGGGTGTATGCAAAGTTTCAAGTAGATTTCGTTAAAACTGGGAGACTAGTTTGCATAGAAACAGACAGACGGATATGCTCATATCAACTCAGGAGGGGATCCTGATGATAAATATATGTATATACTTTATAGGGTCGCAGATTTCTCCTTCACTGCGTTGCAAACTTTTGACCAAAATTATAATACCATCTGTAAGAGTTCAACAAGAAAGGAAAGATAACTTGGGGCGGAGACGAGGTTGATATACCCTTGCAGTTATGATCAGATATATATCGCTATAAGAACATCATTATAAAACCAATTAATATGAATACATAACAAAGAGCGACAAAAAAAAATTTGGAGGAACTTTTAAAGTGACATAGTAAGAATTGTTTGTTAGTGTATTCAAGTCTACACTTTTTAGTCTCCTTCCCTACTGAATTGGTAGTACGGCCGGTGGTTTGTTGTTGTTGTTTTGTCCAAGAGCAAAAAAGTATGCAACAAAAATTTGTTGCTGAGAATCCACACTGTTAAAGCTTAAACTTTAAAGGTTAGTTAAATTGTGAGTGAAAGAGTTGAGTACCGGGTATAAAGTAGTCGTGTTTTATTTGACAACTTATGAAAAGCAAGCATAAATGGCCTTAGTTCATATGAAAAACATGACTAGAATATAATTAACTTAAAGACTTGTTGATGTCAAGAAGCCAATTTATTTGTTTTCAATATTTACAGCTTCCTTAGAGTTACTTTATAAAGGTCTATTATCCAAACTGTATGAATTGGAATCCTCTTCTCCTTTCTTCTGAATCCCCTCCGAGCTTGTCCGTATCGAATCCAAAGTCCGATGCGTCTGAGTTGCCAAAATTGTTGCTGTTATCACGATTATTATCCAGTTTTCCGAGCTCTCTCAAAATTTTATCGGTGTCGGAATCGTGAACACTATCGCTCCAATCTTCATTATTTCCAGCATGATGAACTAAAGGGGCTCCTCCTCCAGCCCCTCCTTCTCCAAACACATTTATAGTCTGAAACGAAGTCGACGCCGCGATTGTTGAATAGATTATTCCCAACAGCACCAAAAGGCTGATATATGCTTGCATTTTGTTTTCTTGAGCTTTGCATGTAATAGACTGAAGGTGCGCGAGAGATGAACCAGACTTTTATAGACGTGCCCTGGGTTTGAGTTATCAGCAGGTTTCATTCTATATACATATGTACACATGTACATACCTATAGTCGTACATAGTTAGTCACATATGTACCAATTAATGTAAGTGCGGGAAATTCCAATTTATTTACTAATTTAATCTTTACTTGCAAAAAATGGTACTGGCATCGAGTACGTTTAACTAATAAGTTTACATTTTTATATAAATTTGTTTTTATTAATTTTACAAAAATTAGAAATATTACCCTCTCCTAAATATGTTTTCTTTTCCAATTAAATAAATATATTTAGACATTAAGCTGTATGTTAATTATTAGTTCTCTTTATTTGAATGTTTTAAATCAAAAATACTATTTAGGTACATTTCCAGCGGTGTCATTTCTGTGTAGTTTCCATCTTCAAGCTCTTTTTTCTCTAAGGCTAAGGATACTGCCTCCATTTCGTTCATGAACAATTCTGCACTGTTATCACCTTCACTCTTTGATGGTTCGGGAATATCTTCTGGTGAACAGCAAAGATCATGCGAATGGCCAGCAAATGGCGCCGCCAAACTAATTACAAGTAATGCCAGTAGTAAGCTATTAGAGCCCTCCATGCTGTTCACTCATCGAAACACAAATGCGCTTTCCCCTTGCACACTTCTTTGCTTTTATACGGATTAGAATTCTGGAAAATCCAGTCGGGGTTAAGCCCATAAGTTGTTTGGATTTCCTGATTTGTTAAATGCACTGGTCGGCTAGTGTGCTTTTTATCTTACACGTATGAATGTTCATATGTAGTCACCATGCTCGATAAAAATTGTAATATGTATTTAATGTATTCATATTTATGTATTCATTAAATCATTTCTTTCTACATTTATATGGAATTATGTAGCAAAGATATTACAAATTAAGAAGAAGTAAATGTATACTTCCTATTTAAACTAGTCACTCCTTGAAGTGGAAATGGGTTTGACTCCCTTACTCAGTTTTTATACCTTTGCAGAGGGTATTTCGGTCAGGGGTAATTTTCAGGGTAATTTTGGTCAACGTGTGCAACGCAGGGAAGGAGACATCTACGACCCTATAAAGTATATAACTATACTCCTGATAAGGATCACCCTGTTAATATGAGCATGTCCGTCTGTCTGTTTCTACGCAAGCTAAATAGTTTTTCAGTTTTAAAGCTATCGACTTTGCACACACCCTTTTTTTCATTGCAGGCAGTATATAAGTCGGAACGGCGGGGCTCGGCCGACTATACCCTATAGATGCCATATAACTCTTTGATCGGAAATGCTATAAGTATAACTTAATTGCAAGGGTATATCAACTTCAGCTTCGTCCGAAGTTCGTTTTCCTTTCTAGTTTTTATAACTATTATTACATATTTACTTATAATTATTTTAACAAATTATTTTATTTTATAATTATTTTAACGCCCCCACAAATTGCGAATTTCTGTCTTGCCAGTACTGAAAGGTTTTTGAAAATTGTTAGATGCCAAACTATTTTGGACTCAAAAGTAAAAGTATGACTCTGTCAGTCTCTCACGGTATTTGTCTTTACATTTTTCTATTGCTCCACTTATAGGAATATATCTTTTATTGCGTTCTAGAGTTATCCCAGATTTTAGGATATATTAAAAGTTGCGGAATATCAACTTTAACCAAATGTCTCAATCAAACAAAACGTAACTTTTTCAAAAAAAAAATTTTTCCTAAAAAAAAATATTTTCTGCGTGATTTTGTGTAGAACAAATGTTGTTTGTATTTAAGTAACTAACATCTCCATTTTTTTCAGGAATGAACAATTTTTTTTTTTTAGGACGACATAGTAAAAACAGACAAACAGAAGGACACATTGGTTTCATTTTTTTGAAGAAAAACTAGTTTTTCTTTAATAACTTCTCAACAAAACGTTGGATTGGGATGATTGAGCCGTCATTCGACGCTTATTTAAAATAAGATTGTTATACGATTACTCCTCCAATGATCCCAATAGCCCCCATTTAGTCAATAAAAGTTATTTAGATTTTACGCAAATTTCTCCCAAACTGATAGATTTTTTTTTTTGTCAATTTGATGTTTCTGTTTCTGTAATTTTCTGTTCTGAATTTCTGTTTCTTTAAATTATGTTTATGTGTGTATTTCTAGGATAGGTTATGGCCGTATACCGCACATGCTTCAAGTGTTGTAGCTCCTAAGTCCCATAATGATGGAGAAGGTATTATTGGCTTAGTTCTCCCTTCGGTCTGTCCTTTATCCCGAAGATTTATTATCGATTTAGGTCAAATTGAATTGGAAATTGTGCCATTTGGATGAGCCAGTTTTGTGCTTAGTCTATTACCAGCCATGTGATATCTAAAATCTCTGCAAATGATAAAAGATATGGCGCCGCTTGTGACAAATATTGCACAGATAACAAAAGTGAAAACACGGACGAGTGTGCCACAAAGGCATAAAAAACTGTAGAGACGTGTCTTGAGGGATTTCGACAGAGCTGAGACAGAGCGAAATTCAACTGAAATGGTCCGGATTAAGCCATATTGTCGCGCTACGTGGGGTTTTCTTCGAAAGTTGTTTAGAGGTTTTTCACAGGTTTGAACTTTATGAGGCACATGGCGAAAAATTAGCTCCTTTAGGCGCTGAAGTGACGTAATGGAATTATATCAACCTTTAATGGAATTATCAACAAGTAACTCCGTTTAATTCTTTTTAATGGCATTACCCCCAGGGTTGGGAATATTCGTTGCTGGCCACAACTAATTACCACATTCGAGCACAAAATAAAATTCTGCATTTACCTGTTTTTCTTCTTTTTCATTCGCCCATACAATTAACAGGCAACGTGCTCATTGTTGTTGTCGCCTCTCTGCGTTTAACAAATGCAAAAATAATTATAATTAATGCAGAGGTTTTGGCCTTGAACTTGCATAACCTGCTGACGTTCGTTCGACGTAATTAATTTTTAGCTGCTGTGGTTCTGCTTCTTAGCCACGCCAACAAATCGTCATCATCGGTGTCATTTTTTTTAGGTGTCCCACCATCTTTGAATTAACATACATATTTGTTTAGTCGGAGTAGCAAAGCCAAAAAACCATATTTTTAAAATTTAAAACTTCATTGAGCTGTGCAGAAATGCTTAAAGCCCCGAAAGAGAGGGCTAACTGAAATGGAATTTATTCAATTCAATTAAAAATGGAATTCAAATAGTTCGATCTGTCCGTCCTATCTATCTATCTCTTTCACTTTCCAACTCTCTCATTTGTCTTTTTCTTTGTCGAGCGGTCTTGCCAAGTTCAAGGTGAATATTAGCCTCAAAACTTTGCAAAATTCTGTGGAAACCATATACGAGTGCCGGCTCGTTATTACTCACCTTTGCCTGACTCACAGCACCAAGGAGGGAAGAAAAACTGCTGAGGGGCGGCGGGTGATCAGACAAGTGCAGCTTAGCTCATCCGAGAACGCTAATTTTAATCTCGGGTGGGTGCTCAGTTAACCAGCTTGCTAATTATTAACCAAGTCGTGCTATACATACACATGCAACAAAAATACATGTAGACAAAAAGATAAAAATTGGTTTGTTTCTTTTTGTAGATTTGTAAATAGATAACTTAGAAAAATGAAATTTAAAAGAAAATATTTGATTTAAAATTTCATTTAAATTCCCCAAAGACGCTTAAAAATGTACTAAAAAATTATTATTTCGTAAAGTTATTTTTAATTCAAAAAAAAAAATAATCCTAAAAATTAATATTCAGTACGGATCGAAAACGTTTTCTTTTGTCTTAGATTAATTCCCATGAAAACATTATGTGCCCTCTAAATGCATCTATGAGCGCTGCTATAATGATAGACATCTATGGTTGAATGTTGCATATACATAGTTCAATTCTATTCCACTAGCTTGGAACACTACTGACCCACTTCTTTCATGAATACGACGCCTTCTTTGACATCATTTGGGGCAAAGAGTCAATCCCCTGCCATGTCGGAAAGTATCTTCCATTATCTGTTCATATGGGTCTCTCTTATGCAAGATTTTCTGCTCAGTTATCGCTTCACAGTTCTCAGTTCTTCGCATGTTTACTGCTAAATTAAGTGATTGGCAAAACCATTCCCTTTGACTGCACTGAATTTGCATTCGCTTTGGATTCTTGCAATCTGAATGCTTGTCTGTTTTTGTCCGTTGCATTTCTCAGCGAGCGCTGGGGTCTGCATCTATTAGACCCCACTCGGCCGCTCATGAGTGTCTGAGGCTATGCATAAGAATAATAAGTTTGCTCTGTACTATTATAACCTTGTAGGGTAGGTTAATTTTGTCCAGATGTTTGGGAGGCATGAGGCATACTCACCGACTCAGTGAACTTTAAATTATATATGAACATATATTCTTCAACATTCAAGTGTATAAGATTATAGTGCTTATAAGAGTTAGTGCTTAACATATTTATTATGTTATTCGTAATACCACAATTACGAACGATTAAAAATTTTACTTTGGGGGCAACATTCAAAACAAACAGAGAATTCAGA